CTGCAGCGTCTGTGTGTTTCTACCTTTAGATTCTTAGCTGAAGAAGTGTCTTTAGAATAAATCTCTTGACAATGTTAAATTTTATTTGTTTATTTTTTTCCAAATTGATTTTTCTTATTGTATTTCATTTTTTCCCCTAAATCTTCCGATTGTGCTTATACACCATTTTAAATTTTGTTTTTATTTCTTTATAATTTTATTTAATTTCTCTGTAGCTTTCTCTTTTACAAAACAAATATTATTAAATTATCAGCTGGTCCATCATCGGTGACGCGCTTTGGTTTGAACCACAAATAAAGTTTGATTGATTTCATTAAATCGTGGTTACCACAGTCAGTGTATGTCTGAAAATGAACACAACAGCTATTAGCCAAAACATTAAAAACACCAATAGGTTGAAGTGATAGATCGACAGTTTTTAAATACAATAACATTCTGCTGGGAAATACAGATGCAGAGGTTTCTTTGACATTGCAATATTGTTCCAAACACCCTGTTGGACGGGAGAGGACAATTCGTAATCCAACGCTGCAAAAACTGCTGAAGAACTTTAACAATCTATCTAATCAAGAATCCTTCAAATGTGCTGGAAAAATCCGGACCCATGGATAAATATAACAATTTTAATAATAATCAATGTTCAGTCTGTCTGAAATAAACGTGAAATAAACGTGGATCATCGTGGATAATACAACACAGAAAAGCTGCAAAATGAGACTATAAAGATTAAATCTAAAGCAGGATGGAAAACGCTGACAGTTGACTTTGTGGTAAGTTAAATCTATTTGCTGGAGTATGTTTGTTATGAGAGAAGATGACCTGAAGTGACTTTTAGTTCCTGCTTAGTTCCTCCATTTCGATCCTGCTCCTTACAGCAAGTTTTTAAAAGGCTCTGCAGAAAAGATGACACCTACTCTTTAACTACAGGAAGTCTTTATATCTCTTTCGAAGTCATTTTGTTTCTGTCTGTTAAGTTTAAAGACATAATGAAGAGGTAAAATATAAAATCGGGACAAATGATGAAAACGTTTCAAACAAGAGGAAAACTGCAGAAGATCGTGGAGCTGTGCCAACTGGCCGATCAACAGATAATTAATTAAATTAACACCTGAAGCATTTGCTTTTCTTTCTTTTGACCAACACACAGATTTAGCTGTTTTCCTTCTCACTGTTTTTGTTACAAATAAAAGTTTATCTCTATCAGTGAAACTCCAAAACAATTCCTGTTACTTCCTCACATCCTCTTTCTGGGGAACGGCTTCCTAAATATCATGACTTTAATTATTTGCGTGACATATCATAGTAAATCTTAATTTACTTGAATTTTAGACTGTTGGAGTTTGGGTGGGGGATTTCTTTAAGCTTTTATTATCCAGAGTAGAAGAGTGAAAGTCTGGTAGACTGCAATAAGAGCCATTTATTATGAGTTTAGTTAATCATCTCTGCATCTCAGTAGATTCAAGTTCATATATTTTCTGACTCTGATGCTCATCCAGCAGCCTTTAGACACATGAGACTGAACTTTAAATGTGTTTAAACGCCCACACGACCCAATCGAAACCCTGTAGTTAAGCTAACTACAGAGTTTTATAAGACAAAGAGGTCAAGATGTTCTCACATAAGAAGTGAAACTTGGTGTCATGACACTGGCTTCTCTTATCTCATCAATGAAC